TACCCTAAGGTCCTCTGGCCCCAAAGGTCTTCTGAGCCCCAAAGGTCCTCTGGGCCCCAAAGGTCCCCTAAGGTCCTCTGGGCCCCAAAGGTCCCCTAAGGTCCTCTGGGCACCAAAGGTCCTCTGGCTCCATAGGTCCTCTGGGCCCCCATAGATCATCTGGGCCCCAAAGGTCCTCTGGGCCCCCATGGGTGGGCCCCAAAGGTCCCCTTAGGTCCTCTGGGCCCCCATAGGTCCTCTGGCTCCATAGGTCCTCTGGGCCCCCATAGGTCCTCTGGGCCCCCGGAGGTCCTCAAGGCCCCCAAAGGTCCTCTGGGCCCCCGGAGGTCCTCAAGGCCCCCAAAGGTCCTCTGGGCAGGATAATCTAATAATAAATATCTGTCATTCTAAACTCTAAAAGTTTAAACTTTATTCTTGAAATAATTTTTTGTTAAGGAAAATATTCAGTTTTTCTTTCCTGGAAAAACGGAAAATGTATCTAATTATCTTTTACAGCCGTTATGTTTTTCAATCTGTGTTAAATTGATCAAACTAGTTCTGGATTATTTTCTTAGAAGATATTTTATCCAGATTCCACATCTGCCCAGAAGGAAGCTGTGAACATCTGTGTGATTTTGGTAAAGATGTCGTTCAAAGTTTTATTTTTATTTTTAGGCATCTGAGCAGTGAACACAGGTTGGATGAGCGGAGCACCGCCCAATGCCGAGTCCAGATGCAAGTAGTCCAGCAGCTCCAGCTGCAAGTGAGCAACAGTCCTACCAAACCCACATCATAGAAAATATCTATCTGTATATAACTTTATAGAATAAATAGTTTAGGTTTTATTATTCAGAGGATTAAACATTTCTATGCTAATTAGCCACTTTCAGATTTGAACACAGAAGCGTTTCTTCTTCTTGAACAGCTCTGCAAAGAGCGGCAGCGTCTGCACGCCATGATGACTCACCTGCATCTGCCTTGGCTGCAGCCTCAGTCACCTCAATCTGATGCAGCTGCAGACCTTCTGGGCTCACAGGTAACCTGATGTCATCGAGCTGAAACTCCTCTGATTTCAATGCTGGCAGATTATAATTGAGCAAATCGTCTCCAGTTGATCAGGCTGTAAAAGAAAAGTCAGTATTTTACCAAAAAAAAGAGAAAAACTTGTCTAAGAAGAGATGAAAGTCCGACGCAGGTGGATTCGGATGCATTTTCTCTCGTCAACATTTTTCTCTTCTATGCAGTTTTTGACTCTTTATTTTGGAGCGTTGGGCCCAGCAGACGGGAGCAGCCATGTTCCCAGACCGTGGACACGCTCTCATCATGCGGAAACTAATCTTTTGTTAATCTTGCAAACACTGAACCTTAATTGCAACACTAAGCAAACGATTTCACCCTGTAATTAACAATAATTGGCTTCAATCTTATTGTAATATTAGTGGGAGCTGCTCAGAGGAGGCGAGTCCAATCGCTCTTCACGCTTGATTAAAAATGTCTCACTTTTCTTTGGTTTCTCTGTCTGTCATTTTGGCAGCAGTCTTTTGTTTGTTAAATGATGTCATTTGCTTTTAGCTCCGCCCAGCAGCGTTCACCTCCAAACCTCGGAGCGTTGCCAGGTCTCCACCTCGAGGCTGTGAGGAAGAGGGGCCCATTTTCAGATACTCCCCGAGGGCCATGAGGCATCATCCCCCTCTGTTCTCTCTGTCTTCAGGTACAGGCTGGATTTTACTCAACGAATAACAAACGCAGCTGATTATTAATCTTTTTTTGGCTTTTCTCTCATCATGTTTCGTCTTCCTGCAGAAAATGAGTATGAGCTCTACAGGAACGCTGACATCAGACCCCCCTTTACCTACGCAGCCCTGATCCGACAGGTACGATCGGAGCCTCAGGGCCGCTGCCTTTCAACTATTACTGGACCTTTACTGTCCTACTTTAATGTGTTTTCCATAAAAATATGAACACAGATAACAAACCACATAATACATGTTTACAGTTTATGTTTATGAAATATATTAAGTTGGCTTCTAAAGTATCCATACCTGTTTTTCTTCATATTTTTTTACACTACAGCCAGAAATAAACTGTTGGCATTTTACAGACCAATACGAAGTGGTGCGTATTTTGAAGTAGAAGGAAGATTATAGAATGTAGATATCTGGCTGACTTATATAGAAGCAGCTGTACTGCCTTATATATCCTTATTCGTGGCTTTATACTTACTTAGCAACAAAAGATGCAGTTGAAAGGGTGTTTGAATCCTAACAGTACAGGCTGAAGGCCGAGTATGAATCTTAGCAATAATAAAGTCCCTAATGGCTCATTTATACACAATTAGATGATATATTAAGAGGTTTTGCATAAACAGAGAACGTCTGTATAAACATTCTTCCAAATGTCAAAACAGCCTCTGGCTTCGACCAGCAGACGTGAATTCCAGTAAGCTTTCGACATGATATTCCGTCGTGTTTGTGCATTTATATAATGCGATGTTGAGACTATAAAACAGCCTGAGATGAAATGAGAGTTGGGGGAAAACTGAGATGTTGATATATTTATATGTTTTAAAACAAAGCAGAGTGTGTATGACGTCATCCGCGCGGCGGGCTGGAGGTGTGACAGGCAGCCCGGGCCACAGGCGGCTACGCTCTACCCCTTCTATTCATTCTAGCTCATCTGAATCGTTCATCTGGAGAGCGAGATCATCTGTAGCAGCACTAGACATCTTCCAGACATGTGAGGAAAACTAGCAGCAGTTCAGCGGACAGGATGAATGAACGGTAGCCGGCGCACGCTGATGATGTCATACACGCCGCTTCGTTTCTAAAAAATATAAATATAAAAAATCTAACGTCTGGTGGACAGTGATTGGCCTCCATGTTCTGAATGCTGGCGTACCATAAAGAATAAATGATGAACAGTTTAGTTTGTGCCTTCAAGTCGTTGCCCAGAGGAAGACGTTACTGGATATAACCTAACGGAATATCTTCAGAACGGCTTCAAATGACACTGAACTCATCTGGGAGAGAAGAACATGATGGAATAACGGAAAATCAAGGGACCAATGTAAAAAAAAAAAACGCGTTCCACTTTAAATAATCTGTTAATCAAACCTAAACCAGCCGGAGCTAATGTGTGATTTACTGTCAGTATAAACAGAGACTGAAAGCCTCACATTTATTTTTTAGGGATCAGTAGAATGGAGAGAGTGCAGTCTTACCAATTTCTGGCAAACAAGGCATTTAGCAAAAAGGCAGTGAAGTTTCAACTTGATACTTTGCATTTCATGAAGCACTGATTTAATTCCATGCTGTACTGTATTATTTTTTATTCCTTGCATGATAGGCCATAATAGAAGCCTCAGATATGCAGCTCACACTCAATGAGATTTACAACTGGTTCTCCAGGACCTTTGCATATTTCAGACGCAACGCTGCCACCTGGAAGGTAAACACCGCCGCTCACCATAGACTCGTGTGTCTCAGATTGGTTCAGCAGAACTTTCTCCATCCGTCTGATTTAGAACGCTGTCCGGCACAACCTGAGCCTCCACAAGTGCTTTGTGCGCGTGGAGAATGTGAAAGGTGCAGTGTGGACGGTGGATGAGGAGGAATATCAGAGGAGGAGGTCTCAGAGGATCACAGGGTAACTCGCCTCCCATCGACTCATCACATCAAACTTGATCTACCATCTATAGTGGCAGACATCTTTGAAGGAGGGCAGGGCAGAGCTGATAAAATAATGACTGTAGAGACTGCCTTAATGAAACCTATATTGATTGATTGATTGATTGATTGATTGATTGATTGATTGATTGATTGATTGATTGACTTCATTGACTTCAGAATGGACTCGTTGTTCGTTACATCAGATCAAATAGTCAAAGAAGGAGGTGCCAAAGGAATAAAAAGCTGCATGGGATTTATACAGCATATACAGTGTGTCCACATAGGACAGCTTTTTATTTATTTTTATCCACAGACTATTATTTATACTAATACTGTTTATACAATTATCTGTAGATATATAGTATTAGTAGAATAAATAATAGTATTCTATTTTTAATGATCTATGTTAACAAACATCACTTGATTAGGTGATGTTTGAGTAGATGTTGCTGCAGTCTGCAGTCTGACCACTAGATGTCACTGAAAAACAAACACTAGCTTTAACTGTCTGCTATTTGGCATCCCTTTGAAAAGACCAAACAGGTAACTAATCCACTTTCTAAGCCAAGCAGTAAAAGATTAAACAAACTTTTGACAAAGCAAACCTGAAAATGAGCTTTTTCTTTGAATAATGTAATTATTCCTCTTTTAAAATCCCACCTGGCCCTTTTAGGAGTCCATCACTGATGAAAAGAGTCTCCTCAGGTCTTCCTCTGGCCGCAGTTCTGCACTCCAGCTTTCAGGTCAGATGATTTTTGCTTTTTTAGTAGCTTCTCTTTGAAGAGATTGGTTTAAACTTTGCTGTTTGATTTCAGGCCTCGCTGGGAGAAGCATCGCTAAACCGACTCAATAAGGAGAGTTTTAGACTTAGAGAGGAGAACAAAACAGCAGAAGGCAAAAGCGTCCAAAAACAAAACCCCTCTTCTGAGGTCCAACAGTGAGTTGCCGTTTCAGTGGTCTATATAACATGAACCTATCGAATGACTGAAAATCACACTTTCTTGTTTCACACAGGCAACTTTTTTTGGAAGATGGGGAGCTGAATTTAAATGAGGAAGAGGTTCAGCTGCCAAGAGTCAAACCAGTCAGTCTGCAGCCAAACATTCATGGAAGCAACGAGGAGCTTTTATTTGGCCTTGAATGACCCTTCAGGTGTGACTCAGAGCTGCCACTTTAATTTAGATAATAAAACCTGCATCCGTGGATTAAGATTCCCATGATTTGTTAGGTTTGCAGTTATTCAGCACGTCCTGGGACTCCATCCAGATGTTTGATTTAAGGATCCATCCAGATGTTTGATTTAAGGATCCATCCAGATGTTTGATTTAAGGATCCATCCAGATGTTTCATTTAAGGATCCATCCAGATGTTTGATTTAATGATCCATCCAGATGTTTAATGTAAGGACCCATCCAGATGTTTGATTTAAGGATCCATCCAGATGTTTGATTTAAGGATCCATCCAGATGTTTGATTTAAGGATCCATCC